AAGCCTACAGCTTTGGGAGACTGTTGAGATTCTGAAAACAATTTTTTAGTATTGTACAAAAATGTCCGAAAGACCACGTGGGTGTCAGAGAGACCATTAAAAATACAAGTTTTTTACCTAAGCCCTTACAGACCATTACAAATATAGACCATGTATTAACTCATAAGAACGCTCAATAAATACTAAAGATAAAGTATCCTAGAAACCACGCTGTCTACCTCTTACTCTGTATTATATTGACATGGGTGCATGCTAATTTATATATTTAAGAACGTAGACAAGACATTCCTGCATATTTAATAAAACATATGAACATACATACATAAATTAAGTGCTGGGTTACAGGAGGCATCGTAACTAAAGTTCCAAAGTATTAATTAGAACTAAATCAAGACGCTATGTTGAAATAAATTGGGGGAATTGACATATAAAATGGAGGGAAATTACATCCCCAAAAATTTAAATTGGAAAGCAGACTATCTCAAAGCGATGATCTACATCCTACGGAAAGGTGATAATGAGTAGAGTCGCGTAAATCCCAAGGATCTAAAGGGAAAGAGATAACATAAGAGAAGAAATAAACCATAGAGATGATAAAGGTACGATTGGGAAATTCAACACAACCAAGAGTTGTTCTTTGAAAACACAATGAGTAAAAGATGTGTACCTCTGGCACCACTAAGAGATTAGGAGACACAATACAAAGAAGTAGTGATATTTGTCAATTATTTCTTAATTAAGGTGCGGAACAATACAAAGGATGAAGGTTTTAAATATAGGAGGGGTCACGGCTACAGATAAAGCAGAGATCATTCAGAACTTCATGGACTTTGATGTCCAGAAGGAATGTGGCAGCAAAGTTCAAGAATTATTTTTAGGGCTGGCTTACCAAGAGGTAACAAGATTGAAAACTGCATACGCTGAAAGCACTACAGCAGTGGTTAAAAGGCTTCCAACAGAGAGAATATCCATAGGCTGTTCAAGAAGTAGATCATTCTAGTTTTATACAAAAAAAAAAAATAAAATAAAATAAAAAAAATAAAATTAAAATTAAAATTAGAAAATTAAAAAAAATTAAAAAAGGGGAAAAACAATGAAAAAACATAATGGCCCCTATGCTACTCGTAAGGCTGGTGTGAATTTTTTTTTAATTTTTTTACTTTTTATTTATTTATGATAGTCACACACAGAGATAGAGAGAGGCAAGGCAGAGACACAAGCAGAGGGAGAAGCAGGCTCCATGCACCGGGAGCCTGACGTGGGATTCGATCCCGGGTCTCCAGGATCGTGCCCTGGGCCAAAGGCAGGCGCTAAACTGCTGCGCCGCCCAGGGTTCCCGGCTGATGTGAATTTAACCCCGAAGCTGATAAATAGACAGTGCAGGGAAAAAACTAACCAAACAAGAAATCCACTGTACTTACAAATTTGGCTTTGAAAATCAAAAGGCCATAATTATGAACATGCGTTATCCAAAAAAGCAGAGATTTATAATTAGAAAATCTGGAAATGCAGTTGATCACGGAGCTGGATTTTGAGAAAAAACTATAATCAACTGGATGGAAGGAGATAAAGCAATGATGATATTTGAGTGTCCTATCTCAAAAAAGTCTGTAATTAGGAATGAAATGGAATCTACTCTGGGGACTGCAGGAATTCATTAAAATGGCAGAGCACATACCGCCTGAAATGGGAAGGCACCGTCAATTCAATGGTAGACATCTAAACTAAAAGTGTGAGCTCCACCAGATGGCAGCCGGCCCCGTTTCCCCGGATTTGCAAAAGGCAAAGAAAATGAAATGCACATACTCATCGTGAAACAAAAGTTCACTTAACGGCAGGAAGAAAACCCTAAAAGCGGGATTTTTTTTTGCAGAGATGTGAAGCTTAACTCAAGATGGGGAGACATGTTCGAGAGGAGGTTGTTCAAGAAATTAATCTTCGTCACAATCCTCGGTTTTGTTTGGAGTGGTGGGCTGTGAGCTTACATCATCTAAGCAAATAAGTAGAAAGAATGGGCCAGCAAGGAGCACGCGTGAGCCGGGTATTTGGATTAACCAATTTGTGCCCACCTGGGTGCCAATATAAACCAAATATAGGGATCCCTGGGTGGCGCAGCGGTTTGGCGCCTGCCTTTGGCCCAGGGCGCGATCCTGGAGACCCGGGATCGAATCCCATATCGGGCTCCCGGTGCATGGAGCCTGCTTCTCCCTCTGCCTGTGTCTCTGCCTCTCTCTCTCTCTCTCTGTGACTATCATAAGTAAACAAAAATTAAAAAAAAAAAAAAATAAATAAATAAAAATAAACCAAATATAATTTAACAGTTTGTAGGGCGGCGACTTTGTGGAGGGGGGATAAATGTCATAGACCATAGGGCAGCCCTGGTGGCTCAGCGGTTTAGCACCGCCTTCAGCCCAGGGCCTGATCCTGGGGACCCGGGATCAAGTCCCACGTCGGGCTTCCTGCATGGAGCCTACTTCTCCCTCTGCCTGTGTGTCTGCCTCTGTGTGTCTCTCATTAATAAATAAATAAAATCTTAAAAAAAAATACCGTAGACCATAGAAGTGGTAGCCACATCACGATACACGCAGGGGTCCCTAAGCACCCTTCAAGTGGTGTGTGTATGTGTGAACACATGCGTACACTCCAAGAGCTCAACCCTCAAGTCCATGTGTATTTGGGGGAAAAAAAGAGAAATTGAAGGTAATGGATATACAATAGGGTGTTGCTTCCCTGAAAACTATTTTCTGGGAACCATAGTGCAGATTCTTGATGCTGCATTTTCTTAATTGTGTTGAGCAGAAAGGATGAATGGTTGGACTTCAGGAAAATAGACACTTCCCACGACAACAGAAACACATAGGGGGCCGAAAACGTTTTCTGGTCAGTGCTGAACGCATTTACACGGCGAAACACGCCTGCCCAAATGAGGTCCTTGGAAATGAAAAATAAAATAAAATAAAATAATAAATAAATAAAATAAAATAAAATAAAATAAAATAAAATAAAGTAAAATACAATACAATAAAATAAAATACAATAAAATAAAATAAAGATCGATCAACCAGCAAAGCCTTAGGGAAAAAAACATTTTAAACCCACACTTTATTGACAATGTATTAAACTTGGCTGTTGGTGAATATTTTCTGAATTTGGTCTTTTCAAAATAATATGCACCTCAGGCTTGTAAAACGGAAACTAGCACAGGATATGAATTTCTCTGGTTTCCAGGGGTTTACTTTTGTACAGGAAGAGATTATTAAAAACTCAAAGATGATTTAATTTAATTAGTAGCCTACTTAGCAATTAGAAAACTCTTTGACCAACATTGTATGAACCGTTTTTTTCCCATATTTTAGCACAGATATTTTATTTATTATTATTTATTTTCCCCATATTGTAGCACAGATTTTTTAATTTATTTTTTTCAAGATTTTATTTATTTATTTAGTTATTTATTTAATTCATGGGAGACACAGAAAGAGAGAGGCAGACACGCAAGCTGAGGGAGAAGCAGGCTTCCTGCGGGGAACTCGACGTGGGGCTTGATCCCAGGACCCCGGGGTCATGCCCTGAGCCAAAGGCAGATGCCCAACCACTGAGCCACCCAGGTGTGCCTAGCACAGATATTTTAAAACGTGGCAGGTAGCAAGCAAAACAAAAGGTGAATCAAGTACGTGTCAAATCAAAGCAGCTAATAGACGTCAGTGAAAAAAATTCAACAGAAATATCTTTGTACCAAGTCTAGGAAACACATTTTCCTTGATGCCTCAGCTGGGAGTAAAAGGTCTACTCACAGGGATTGCAAGTCAAACAATTAAGTAGAAAGCTGCAGTTTGAAAGCCTCTGGACGTTTACTTATTTTTATTCTTCAGTAATCTTGAAAGCCTCTGGATATTTGTAAAGGTACTGATGTTGGTTGCAAAACCAACGCCAGCCTGGCTCACTTCACGCGGGATACTTGTACCGCCAGCCCTCAGCGAGCTGAAGAAGGTACAAAACGTAGCATTTGACTTCTGAAAACACTGTTTTTTCCCCTGAATGCTAAACGTGGAAGACTTGTCATTTGAGTTCTTTTTTCCCCCAAACATAGCATTCCCCACAGCATCAGGGGAGCTCGATGAAATTGGTTCTTTGTTCCATTCCAAGGGAATTAGCAGCTCCATGATGGCACGCGGGAAGAGGATGCTCTGGAGATTTATAATGTCAAGTGCCCCACGTGAACTGGACGCTGAGGGTACGTAGTTCACACCCAGTGCAACAGGCCCAGGCCAGTGCTCACACACCTGGGACACTCAACAGCTGGCTCCCAGTAATCCCTGGGTGTGGCTCAACCTGCAGCTGAGTTGGGCGTGAAGAATGGAGGCCATGGAGAGGAAGAGACTCAGCGGTAGCAACACATGAGATATAATTGAGGGTGTTCTAGATTTCAATACAAAGTTTACTTAATTCCTCTTCACCCCCAACGCTTACGGCAAATTTTGAAATCCGGTGAACTATATCTCTATCATTATTCATGAGGTCATGAGCCCCCCCCCAAGCCGTGCCCCGCAACAGGGAGCTGGGTTCCAGCAAGCGAGTGGCACATGGAGCACACGCAGCGATTTCAAAGATGCCGAATGTTCTCCAGGATGGAGATGGCTTCTCGGAAATCAGAAGGTCGATTCCTAAGATCACATGATCTGGGCATCTTTAAAAGGAAGTTATCTGGGCTCCAGAAGGTCATAACACCTTACGGACAACGACAGCTTTTTTCTCATCTTGAAGATAATCCTAAAAGCTCATAAAATGTGTGATGCTGGGATCCCTGGGTGGCACAGCGGTTTAGCACCTGCCTTTGGCCCAGGGAACGATCCTGGAGACCCGGGATCGAATCCCACATCGGGCTCCCGGTGCATGGAGCCTGCTTCTCCCTCTGCCTATGTCAATGTCTCTCTCTCTCTCTGTGTGTGTGTGTGTGACTATCATAAATAAATGAAAATTAAAAAAAAAATTAAAAAAAAATGTGTGATGCTTTTGTGGGTACCTGGAAACTTAGCTGCAGTGAAAACTTTGATGGATACACGAAAGAAGTGGGAGTGGGCTTCGCCACCAGGAAAGTGGCTGGCATGGCCAAACCCAACTTGATCATCAGTGTAAACGGGGATGTGATCACCATTAAATCGGAAGGCACCTTTAAAAATACCGAGATTTCCTTCAAACTGGGCCAGGAATTTGATGAAGTTACTGCGGATGACAGAAACGTAAAGAGCATCATAACCTTAGATGGAGGTGTCCTGGTACAGGTGCAGAAGTGGGACGGAAAATCTACTACCATAAAGAGAAAAGAAGTGGATGATAAACTGGTGGTGGATGTGTATCATGAAAGGCGTCACTTCTACCAGAATTTATGACAGAGCATAATCCAAGGGACATCGAGCTGAAGTTTGCATTGAATTCTACAACATTCTGTTGGATATATTGTCCAAACATGTATTGTTATTTTCTACTAATTAGCAAGCAACCAATTTCCCCCAAATGATCTTATTCAATGTGGATGTGTTTGTTAAATAAAACCTTTTAGATATAGAAAGAAAGAAAAAAGAAATTAGGAAGTCCTCGCTCATGGACACACGTCCCCAGCACAGGAGGATCCACAGAGGTGCCAGCCTCTGGCAAGCCTGATCAGGCTCCACTGAGTCACTGGCATTCAAAGAGATGCATTTGTCTGTCCCGAGGCTTCGGACAGAGGTCATCGCCACATATCATGCATATTCTCTCTAGGAGGGGACATTCCACTCAGTCCACGATTCTTATTTTGTCATTAGCAAATGTCTGACATTGTTCACGAGCCCATCTTACGAGCCCATTGTTCACGAGTTCATCTTAATATCCATTTTTGTGTGTGCCCTTCTGTTTGGCACGCGGAGAAGAGAATATTGAATCCTGTTTTACAGCAGATGAACTAATCTGATAGAGTTTCCTTGCTTTGGAGGTGCCGAGTTTTATTGTTTTTCAATTCAATTTTGTACAGAAAGTAATTCTGTCTATAGCTTTATGAGCTAAGGTGTCTGCCAGGACACACACACACATACACAGAAATCCACCATATTTGAGGGGAATTTGGGGAAGAATATGAAAGAGGAAGCAACCAACGGGGAGTTATTCTGCGATATTATTATTTGAAGATGTAAAGCCACCCCTGAGCACACCCCAACTAGTCATGATAGCAACTTAGATAATGGATTCGATAAAGTCAATAACCCGTACCTGCGTTTCTCCTGGACAACTGAATTTTTGGTTTGAGTCTTCAGCACTTAACACAGTATCATCGAGATTCCCGGATGGATGAATGCGTGAGTCTATTTCAGGTTGTTATCACCGTCCTATTATTTTTTTGATTACTGAGTACACAATACCTGACATACGGTGCTTTCTTTTTTGTGCATTTGAAATCTGAAATGAGCTCTAAAGTAAAGCTCAATGACGTTGTCAACTTGTCTGTTGGTGTTGGTTGGATCTTCCAGGAAGCACAGGTTGGCGTAAACGTAGGAGTGCCAGCGGTTAATTGGGGGTAAGAATATGATACACACGAGATGCGCATAAAAGGCAAGGGGTAGAAGGAGAAGAAGGATCCAACAAGGGGAGCTTCAGACAGACATGGCACCACCAACACAGAGAGAGGATCTGAAGCACAGTTTGCCTATTAACCGAGTCCCACACTGGGAAGAAATGGTGAGAACCCCCTCTTGCTCAGGGGTAACTGGAGCTTGACCCTAAAGGCATGGAAGTTGCAGCTCTCGGGCCTTGGACTCTTTGCAACCAAAACCCCAGGTCACACAGGGAGGTCTGAATGGTCTCTTGGGCCATCACACCTATGCCACTAGCAAAAAAGAGCAGAAAGGAGCCAGGATTCAGCCCTTAAAACTCCAAACCCGTGGCTCTTTCCAGGAGATTGCAAAGAAAGTTGCAAATAATGAGATTTTAGTGCCCGTGCAAGCCATTGTGTCAGGTGTCCACTTTGAGCGACTTGCAGTACCAGGCAAGATGCAAGCGGCTCTACTGAGAACCGAAGGTTGCTTGGAAGAAGAATCAGAAGATTTTACACTAGAATCTCAAGTACCGCGACCATGAGCTAGCTCGGACAGCTGTGCTTCTGCAACTGACCTGCTGGGAAGAATCACAGGGGCAGAGGGTACAAATACCACCTCCCGATATCCTGAGGAGTCCTCAGCGGGGAGGTGTGAGACACACTGCCCTGGAGGATCAAAGCCTTGAACCTCACAGCACTGCTGTTCACGGTGACCACCTTGCTCTGAGAATCCCAACTACTTCCAGCAACCAGAATAGGCTTCTTAGATTCCATGTGCAGGATGCTCCTGTCCTGTAGAGCTATGGGGCGTAGGGCCTTCTATCTGCGCTTTTTCTCTTCGTTCCTTGAAGAGCAGCTAATAAATATCAAATCTCTGTTCAGAAGTATCTAACAATGGACGTATCCATCCAGGGAAGCTCTGCCACACATCAGATAAAATTCAGTAATTTACTTGTATGCATTGCCAAAATGCTAAAGCTTAGGATTATGAAAACATAATTTGCTACGGGAAAAAAATATATGTCTACTTTTTAAGCAAGATTTTCCTATTTCCTCAGAAATCCCAATGAATGCTCACTATTATCAGAAGCCTTCTCTGTTTTCACAAGTCAGTAATGATCTAGGATGAAATAATGTAATTCATATCAAAAAGGGGTCTTCGAGGGGCACCTGGGTAGCTCCGTGGTTGAGTGTCTGCCTTCAGCTCAGGACTTCTCTCTCTGCCTGTGTCTCTGCATCTCTCATGAATAAGTAAACAAAATCTTTAAAAAGAAAAAGGGTCTTCAGTGAGTTCTAGACAACTTATTTGAGGTGGTGGAACTTGGAACAGGTTGAGAGGGTGAGAATGGGAGGTTGGTTTACAACGGTCAAAATAACCAACATGAAAATCCTCAAAAATGTAGACTTCTCATGTTCCTTGTGCCTCTGAAGTGCAGCTACACATCAAAGCTTGTGGGTAGTGCACAAGGGAGATTGGCAATTAACATTTAAAAACCAGCTAAATGCCTAAAATTGCAAATCAGAAGTCTGTAGGCATATCTTATTGTACATCCATTTCTGTTTGTGATCAAATAAGCATTAGGATCCAAGCAACATAAATTAGTTATTCTGAGCAGAAAATGAGGTTTGATTTATGACCTGAACATCTCACCTAGCAATAGCCTGAAACACTTGTAACATTCCTTAAAATTGAAATTGACCTTCTTTTCTCAAAGAGTGTAATTTGAAACACCTTACAACCAATTATTCCCAAATTAAATTATTTAAAATGTACATAAGACAAGGTGCATTGGTTAATATATACCCGGATCATTTGCTAATGAAGAGTGAAACAATTTCTGAAGGTGTTTATAGAAGGACCAGTATTTATTCAACAGAAATCTAATGAATTGGGGGTAAAAGCAAGTGCTATAGTGTGTCTTTCAATCTGGTTTTGTTTGCTTGTTTTTAATTATTAATGAGGCTCACAGTATTGTAGAGATGAATGTTGACAGACACAGTTAAGATGTGACTAGGTACAAAGGAGTTGTCTTGAAAATGTACTGGAAGCAAAAAAAAAAAAAATACTTGCTTTATATTCCTTTTTTATGTTTTCTAAGCACTAATTAATATTTCTGGGTCCTCTGTTTTAATCACTTTCAAAAAACCTGTTGATTTTAGGGTACCTGGGTGGCTCAGTGGTTGAGCATCTGCCTTTGGCTCAGGGTGTGATCCCAGGGTCCAGGGATCGAGTTCCACATCAGGCTCTCTGCATGGAGCCTGCTTCTTCCTCTGCCTGTGTCTCTGCCTCTCTCCGAGTGTCTCTCATGAATACATAAATAAAATCTGTTGATCTCTTCAATGGAACAGCCATTATCTGCTGCCATCTTAATCGGAGTTGGAAAAGGGAGCCTGCCATGTTGTGTCCATGTGTCCTTCAATGTCCTGAAGAAAGAACCAACCTATGTGGTCCCACATGGGAAGATGGGTGCTCACGTGGAAACCACCATGGTGGGGGCCACTTCAGAAGACTTGCCTTCTACTGGCCTCTACTCCAATATGCTTTCCGCTCCCCAAGTCCAGCGGAAGTGATTTCAAGAAATTAGTGACAAAACCAATTCCACTGTATACTCTGGAAATTACTTAAGAATATTCCTCAAAGGGGATCCCTGGGTGGCGCAGCGGTTTGGCGCCTGCCTTTGGCCCAGGGCGCGATCCTCGAGACCCGGGATCGAATCCCACGTCGGGCTCCCGGTGCATGGAGCCTGCTTCTCCCTCTGCCTCTCTCTCTCTCTGTGACTATCATAAATAAATAAAAATTAAAAAAAAAAAGAATATTCCTCAAAGAGAAAGTACTCCTTTCTTTGCTGTAAAGCATTCTTGACATCTTGATTTGGTTTGAAATTTCTCTTTATCCATAGCTGGGTGTGTGTGTGTGTGTGTGTGTGTATGCATGTGTGTGTGTGTTTTTCTACTTCCTCTTCCCCAATCAAAAACACCAAAAAAATTCTACTTGGAGAACAAATCCATTACAAAAACTTGAGAGTCTCCGTTTTAGAAGTGGGACTCAGAATCATCATGAAAGACAAGAAAAAACATATCCCTAAAGGTTGCTGGAACAAAGCACATAACGTTTTCTTGTTTGTTTGTTTGTTTATTTATTTATTTATTTATTTGTTTATTTAGCATGTTAGATTTTCAATGACTAGTATTTTCAGAAAAATACGCTTTGGATTTCAAGGGGTGCTTTCATCATAACATTGAAACCTGTGGGCTGGATGCAATATTAACAGAAGGGACTTTGTGAGTAATTTTGCCATCTGTCGAGAAGCCCCAAGAGACGACCAGCTCTGTTCTCTTACAAAGTACTGCTTTTAGAGCCCCTGACTTTATAGGATCTGTTTATATTTATGCATAATTGGGGAGATTCACCCTCTCAGATGTCCTTTCTACAGTTCCCAAGAAGTAGGCATGAAAGCTACACTTGGGAACATCAGTTCCTGAGGTCTCTGGTTCTGCAAATACCAATTTGTACCAACTTTCTGGTTTTCACCCACCCAACGTATGGCCATGGAGATCCTCAATGGTTTGGTTACAGAGGAGAGACTGTGAATGTTAAAGTTGATATTTGTGAAAGAGACTATTTTATACAAAATCCTTTATGAAAGAAGAGAGACATAGGAGGGATGATATCAGCAAGCAGACTGTACCTCAATCTGGGAGACAATAACTGGAAGGACAGATTGCACCATGGTCCCTATGGACAGAAACTCTTGGTTTATGCCTGTGAAGATACCTGGCTGGAACAGATTGTTTTCCCCCTCATAAAATCTGCCTGTGTTT